AAAAAACTCCTGCATATTGAGATTTCCAACTATGGCCTCGGATGAATTACAATTATCCTGTTTATGAGAATGGTTTGACATTTATGTAAATAACTTACCAAATTCTTGACTTAAATTAACTAGCTTACACGTTACACCACTGAAAGCTTGAACACGTTTAAAATATAAAGTATGAGGTTATGTAAAATCTTCACCTAGTTATATTATATTATATTATTATTTTAGTATTTATTTTTCAATATTAGGTTTTATGATTATCTCAACAAATTTTGTTGTATATAGTCGGCAATATCGATCGAATCTACGCTTCCTTGTTGTCGTTGTTGATGTGAGATAACTCAACTACTTGGTATCAAAGTATTACGAGTATATGTGTGCTCCAAATGCATTTATTATATATTGTCAATTTTTAAAATTGCTAGGGACCAAATTAATCATAAAGATGGTGATCTTGTCAAATAAAAGGTTTTATCTTTTGACTCGTTCGCTTATAGATGTTACTGTTTATTTTATATGTAGATGTCAAGTAGCTTAATGATTAAAATATTGAGGTGATATATAAGGTTTAGTTAAGATCGAATATGCATGTCTAAGTACATCATCTGTTATTTATGAACTTGTAAGAAAATTGGCCTAGATTGCATTCTCACAAATATATCTGTCTTTATTTTTTCATCGAATATATGTATGATCATCAAACGTACTGTTTTAGTGTTTATTATTATTGAGAGTTGTGTGTGCTATATATATATATAAATACATCTATATGATTTTCACTTATATGAACTTGTAAGAAAATTGACCTAGATAACATGTTCACAAGATATAAGCATGTGAATGAGCGATAGCGCGTGTTCAAGACTTGTCATCGCCTGTTTTGGTAATTGGTAGATAGGATTAACATATGAGCGAGCTTGCAGCTGGTAAAACATTGGCCTCATTAAATTTATAGCTGATTGGCAATAATGTTGCATGTTATGTTGTTCTTACATGTGAATGAATGTTGATAATTTACTTGCAAAATTTTCATGTGTATAGAAAAAAGTTGTCCTACTACGCCAAAAGAACAGTGATAAGGTAACTAATAATTAATATGGAGTACAAGTATATATTAGGTGAATAGGTTACACATATCCTTTTTTTTCGAATTGTCTTATTATTATTTTATTTTATTTTATTTTTTTAATTTGAGTTCGCCAAGAAGTGGTATCAAAACCGATGATCATTTAGGCGAGAAAAGGTTTTATACAGGAAGTGATGAAAGGAGCCAAGGTTACAAGTTTAATTTGGATGTCTACTACTCCCTTAATCGATTTCTTAATTCTTACTTCTTAGTTTTATTTTACTATATTTTTATGAGAGCTTTTTAAGTCAAATGAAGCAAATAAGGAGATGATATTTATGATAATCAATATGGCGGACTTAATTTTAATTACGGAGTGAGTACAAAGTATATGCTTGAAACATACGTACAGTACTTGGTATGCTTGTAGATACTCTAGCCACATAACTAAGAGAACATGTTCCACTCATTAGGACGTACTCTATAAAGCATGCATATATAGTACAATTAATAAAATTCAAAGTTGAGAACCAATTATCAGTACTAATGATTGTAACTAGCTAGTCATGCTAGGCAGTAAACTTCTCAACTTTATCCATATAAAAGTAAATAGAGTACTTCGTAACTTTTAAATTCTCTCCAAAAATGTTTAGACATTTCTTTACCTAATTTTTTTTTTGTTTGTATTCCTGTTTCATTATTACCAACGAACACTAATACTACATACTAGTGTCCATAGGAATGTAGGATGTTCCATTTATCCAAACATATGATGACAATCAAGATCTATACTTTGACAATGCATGCATATATAATATATTAGCGACCAGCAAGAGATTGTTATATACACCCGAGTACAATCCAACTTCTAGCATTAAAGTTTTCACCCTTTGAAAAGACCACATAAATTATATATTGAGTATACATATTGTACCGTACTTGCACTTAGCTTGTTATAAACTTATTATAACTTTATTATAACTCATTACCTATTATCAAAATATAAACCTAGTATGAATAGAATGTAAAAGTTGATTAGATCTAAATGATACATTCATATATTCATAAATATATGCATGCACATGTTAACGGCTAATTAGAATCTTATATAATAAAAACATGCATGTAGATTTGATTATAGACCTAAGTTTCACCTCAATTATATTCCAAAAAATTGAATTGAAGATTGAAACAAACAATTTAAACATCAACGTCAAGGCCAAAATATAGCCGACATCACAAGTTTAATGATATAAGACAAGTGGCATGCTGTCATGGTTATGAATTATGATACGGTAGTGATGTGACAAAATCTTAAAATCTACCCCCACGTCCTAGACATCAAAGGTAGCTTTGACAAAAAATAAATTTTAATAATTAAAAATATTATTAAAAAAAATAGACAACTCAAATAGGTAATAACAATACTGCAACAAAACAAATGCTATGACTACAAATCTCACTCCATCTGTTCTTGTTGTAGCTATAGATTTACAAGTCATGATATTTTTATTAATAACAATACAATAATTAGTTCTAGACAGGAGGATAATGGTTTATTATTATAAGATTTTTTTTTATGTAAATTTAAAATTAATTGGTATTTAATAGGATGTATAAGTAATAATGTTGATTTTAATCAATAACATAATATTAAAACATATATCAGAAATGACATATTATTTTCTTTAATTTATAAAAACCGTGTGTGTCACGGGATTTAAGCTAGTTGTAATGTAAAAGGCGGTCAAGTGCTTATATCTAAAATCATTAAATTAGGTCATTTAGACAGAATGAAACAAAAAGAATAATGTATATGTATGTTATTACTCTCATTCTCAATACTAGGTCAAAGGACTTCATGCTTAACAGTACGTTAACACCACCTGTGAAGATTCAAACTCTACTGTAGCTCTAAGTAGTAAGCACCATATATTATGGTTCATCAGTATTTTAATAAATCCCTTTAATAGAAAAAGGATATGATCTGACATATAAAACGACAAAATATAGGTTATATATGACCTATATAAATAGGTAACATCTTTTACTTAGGAAGTATTAAGATCAATATACATATAGGTAAAAGAGGGAGTTGTGTTAGTGTAGATACATATATATATAGACAGAAAATACTATCATCTTCAACAAGAAATTAAACAAAAGAAAACTATACATAAGAAATACTAGTATGTATTAATTAATTCAATGTATGCAATATTTTTTCCCTCAAAAAGCTATGCTTTTTCTTAGGATTAGCTTTTTCATAATAAAAAACTTAACAAGACATTAAATCTGGTTGTATTTGGTTAAGGACTATGGAATATGCTGATGTCAAAAAAAAAAATAAAAAAAAAAAAATCGAGGTGGTTGTTCCTAGAAGGTTAGTCCATAATTATGCAGCAAAGAAGCCAGGAGAAGATATCTAAGAGACTAATTAAGAAATTTGTAAATAAAAGTGGAAAATATTTTTTTCATAATAAAAAACTTAACAAGACATTAAATCTGGTTGTATTTGGTTAAGGACTATGGAATATGCTGATGTCAAAAAAAAATAAAAATAAAAATAAAAATAAAAAAATCGAGGTGGTTGTTCCTAGAAGGTTAGTCCATAATTATGCAGCAAAGAAGCCAGGAGAAGATATCTAAGAGACTAATTAAGAAATTTGTAAATAAAAGTGGAAAATATTAAAAAAAAAAATCTTTTAAAATGGGAGAGTTACTCAAACTTTACACAAGTTATAGGCTTATAGCGTAGTTAATCACCTCAGAATTTTGAAATTACATTTTTTTGGCAGTATTTTTGAAATTACTTAATGTATGGTATACATTGGTATAGTTTTTTTTCCCCCTAATACGAGTATTAGAACAACTAAATCAATAATATCATCAATTATAATTTACAAATCAATTCAGTCACAAATATAATATAATGTTTTATGGATTTTTATCAAAGTATGTATGCTTTGTATATATTAAAATTTATGCACGTAAGTTCAACATGAAGTCAGCTTTTATATTAATGTGATAAGTCCATGAATTTAGCTGGAATTTGTTTATGAAGAAAGCAATGAACACAAATACAATTTGAAAGTTCTTTCCTCAAATTATAAAGAATAATCAAATTTGAACACCATAAACTACTTTATGTAAATAGTGTACAAATTTCAGCTACTACATACCTACCAAGTAGAAAAAGATATCATTTAACTATTCCTAAGAAGTTTCATGTATATATGTATCATTAATTTGATAATTCACTGTGTCAAAAAAATAAAAAAAAAATAAAAAATTGATAATTCAATTGTTTGAATGACTAATATATGTTTGATACAATAAACTTCATGAGATAGATGTGTTTTAATCATACATTTTCCGATCCCTTGATTCATACTTAGCTTATATTCTTTTTCATACAAATAACTCTTAATTATTTTTGGAATATTTTTAGATTTGTGTACAAGTTCAAGCTCATTTACCTAATCACTATATCGGGTTTAATTGTGAGAAAGCACAAGCCAACTTATTTGTCTATAGTTTCAATCTTGCTTGAATTTGATTGAAAGTAAATGAAACAGAGACAAAAATTTAAAACTTGACTCGGATTAATCTTGACTTGAATTTGATTGAAAGTAAACGACGAAACAGAGAGATAAACACTACTTAAAACTTGACTCTACTTTTTTTTTATTTTGACAAACCTATGGACCATAGATCATCATTTGACATATTAGAAACCTAGTGTGTTTACATAATTTTAGGTTTTACTTGCACACTTGTTATATCCCAATTAGGTAAATATAATAATCTCCTAATATATCGCACGGGGTCCATCTCCTTACCTCTAAAGACAAACGTACATCAAATAAGTCAAAACAATATCACAATACATACTTCATTACTCATGTTATAAGAAAACATTGGTTAAGAATTAATATAAGAAAAACATTGCATTAATAAAATATGACTTGTATTGTCTATAACATTGCAAGAGAGAAGCTCATCTCCACCTATATATATATATAGTTTGTATCACAATTTCAAGAAACATGTCTAGTACAAAAGCTTAAATGTAAGTTACATGATCAAAAATAAAAAACTTACTTGTTGTATTTCGAGTTTTGCATTGGTAGCACAAGAGTTGCTATTAGCTTCCTCAAGCATCAAACTTATCTTTGCATATATTGTAGTCACCCTAGCAAATCTCATGAGATAAACCATGATTAACCAAGAACAAATTGCCTCGATTCATTTCATTTCTCTTCACCAATTGATGACTATAACTTAGAAGCAAGAAGAGATCGAAAAACAGAAAACTATTTGTTCTCATTCTCATTCTCTTTTCATAAGATCGAATTTATTAGTTCCCTGAGGACTCTTTCCAAGGGTTATGATGTACACTACTACTCTTATTCCCTTGGCGATTTTGATCATCTTGTTGCTGCAAATGAGGGTCATGATTCATACTCAAAGGGAAGGCCGGTTTCATATCCAATCCACTCGAGTTATTGTGGAAAGAAGAAGAGAAAGGACTAGTGTTTGACAAAGGGAAACGGTTAAATTGTCTCAAGTCATTCTCTACTTGATGATGACTATTATTCATGAAAGAGGCTTGTTGATGAGGAGGGAAAAACGATGTGGTTGTCATGGAAGGGCATAGAAAAAATTGAGACATTGAGGAAAGAGATAGCGAGGATGGAGGTTGTGGAGTCGAGCTTGATTGAGAAGAGCCTTGATGATGATCATTATGAGAAGAAGGAACACCAAGACTTCCTAATTGAGACAAAGATAAATTTGAAGGCTCCAAATGGTAATAGTTGAACATAGGATTATTGCTCAAAAAGGAAGGAGGATGAGGAGGTAAAATATTATTATTATTATTAGTAGTACTATTATTATTTGAACTTGCAATTGGGAATAAATTTTGAGCTAAAACTTGAGAAGTACCTTGATCATTATGATGATGATCTACCCCTTTTTGCTTAGATCTCATCAATGAATTTGAATCCCAATACTTCAATTTCGCGACAAGAGATTCATCCTCCTCGTCCACATCCACATCTTCAGTAGTCCTATTAATATTGATGCCACATTCTTTCCTAGAAGGTAACAAACTAGCATCAAAAAACGGCGTAGAAGAAGAAAGTGGGACACCATATGCTCCTTGAGAAGGGTTAAAACTCCCTGGTATAACCGGCAATGGAGGGAGCTTATCAATGTCATGCTTAGTAGTATCGAGTAGCCAATCAATGACCTTGCTCGGTTGGCTTAACCCGAGCCTATCTTGGAGATCATAGAGTTGGATTGCAGTAGGTACCGAGAGCCTAATCCTTCTATCTCTTAGCCCTTTGATGGTGCAAACTTTGCTGTGCCGGTCTTTGCCTCCAAAGGTACGGGAAACTCGAACTATCCTTGGATTCTTGAACCCTGATGACCATTGCCTTGAACTACTTGAAGAAGCTGCTATGCTTAGTTTGCTTGAGTCTCCTAGCTCTTGCTTCGTTGTGTACGAAGGACCGTCTTTATCTCTTAAACTCATCATCTCCTTGTATGATTCCTCATCATAATGCTGCTAACAAAAAAAGAGGCAAAACAAAAACTAAAAAATCATTATATAGTTAATTTAGCTCAAGGTTTTTGAGTTGGCAATTAGATTGAATTAGCATTTAAATGAATTACAAAGAAATAAACTAAGCTATTGAATTTCACATATCTATAAATAAAGTATGTTTGCTTTGAAAATTTAGTAATTAGGGTTTGTAAATTTATAATTCAATTGTTTGAAGTAGATAAGAGCATTTCTCTACATTTATAAAACAAACATAAGGAAATCAAACATAGATGTAGCTTTTAATAAAATTAAAAAAAAAAAAAAAAATCATGTTCATATATGCTTCAAAAGTTTCCTTTTTGTAGAAAAAGATAAGTCCATGAATTTAGCTGGAATTTGTTTATGAAGAAAGCAATGAACACAAATACAATTTGAAAGTTCTTTCCTCAAATTATAAAGAATAATCAAATTTGAACACCATAAACTACTTTATGTAAATAGTGTACAAATTTCAGCTACTACATACCTACCAAGTAGAAAAAGATATCATTTAACTATTCCTAAGAAGTTTCATGTATATATGTATCATTAATTTGATAATTCACTGTGTCAAAAAAAAAAAATTCCTTTTTGTACAATAAGATTAAGGTTTAAAAAGATGAACTTACATAAAATGTAGAGGCTATATTTGTAGTGTGTGAAGACTAAAATCTCGATGAATCTCGATTCTAGCTCTTCAAACATGGAAAATTGTTGAAGAGCTTCAAACTTACAAGGTTGAATTGTTGTTGATGAGATAACAGTAAGAATAAGCTAGCTAAGTGAAGGTGATGTAAATATATATTAGTGAGTAAAGAAAGATTCAATTGAGAGGGTTCTAAAGCTGCAAAATATTCCTATCATTGTACAAAGAACGAGAGAGGAAGGAGAGTCATGATGAGGTGGTAATTATTCAAGAAAATCATGCTCTTGTGAAAAGCTGAGGAGAGAAGAATGAAGATGCCTAAAATTCTTTTACCACGTCCAAAAAGGAAAAGGAATGGCATACATACCCACCATGTGGCAAGTGGTGTCTACATTGACACGCGAGCTAATCTTCGTGTATATATATGTGTGTATAGGTATGTATATCTTATCTGTAGTTACGCGTTTCTATTTATCTGTATGGTATAATGTATTTATTTACCACTAATAAATTAAATGCACGCATGTAAAAATACGAATTACATACGTATATATACCCTAGCCGCTATGTATGGACAAAATTAAACGAGTATATTATATATTAATGTGTGTACATTGTATGATGTCTTGTCTAAACATGGTTCACATTATGATTGTTGATTGATTATAAGAGACGAAGGAAGAGTTACTTAGCTTTCATTTAGGGGGACCGTTCTACAAATGCATGTTGTAGTACCGAAAATGACCATGGACTAATGCTTTCTTGACTAAAATAATTAATGTACACAACTAATTTTTATTTAATTTTTTTCATTCCAATTAGTTAAATTTCTTTGGAACAAACTTATGCATCATAACTAATAAACCCTTCCCATAACCAAAAATCAAAAGAAAAAAAAAAAAAGGCGATTATTTAAGAAATTAAAGGATTTTTTTTTTTTTAAATAAACCCTAATCTTGTTTTTTGTTATAAAAATGTCAATATCAAAAATGTTCAAAATCCCACCTTATTAGTGATATCACTGGCATCCAAATTTAGTTTGACTCCTCGTGAGTGGTCTAGGATGTCCCTACACACATTATTGATATTAAGATGTTAGTGAACTTATCTTCAAATTTGGTTGCACTATAATGACATTCAAGTTTTTTCTTGGCTTTAATTTGTTGAATTTTATTTTTGTTGGTTTCGTTATCACGTCCGAGCTAATCCATTCATTAATTACACCTATAACTCATCATCATCATGTAATTAATAACATACATACATACATACATACATACATACATACGCGGCTAGCTTAGCTACCAAGCTCGGAAAATTAAAGCCATGGCTTGTGATTATATTCGAGGCGGCTAACAGCCGGAGAGGTGTAGGTGAGGTACAGTTTACAGACCTTTGTAGGTAGAGTTGGGACCAAACTAAACTTTGGTAGTATTTTTCTTTCCTTTTTGTAGTGTATTAGAGGACCACTTTGTTTTTCTTTATAGCAATTGATGACATTATTTCAGTATGTATATATATATATATATCATGCAACCAGCAAATTTAAGTGTACATAATCTGAGTTAAACTATAGTAATATAGTACTGATTTTAAGTTGCACCAATCTATATTTAGCACTTGTAATTGTTTAATATGTAGATTGTTTCAGGTATCATTAATGATTAGTGTCAGTTAGCTTGCAATTTGATGCAGTGCTGTTACTATTAACAAGCTTCTTCAGACCATATATTATAAATGTATGTATATGCCAAAGTTTTATTATACTTGTATATAATTGTTAATTTGACAGAAGAAAATAGACCTTTTTTCTGAATTTGGAAGCAGAGAAAAAGGATGAGATTTCTCAATAAGATTAAATTGGAAGGGTTGATATGATAGTTGTGGACCCAAAAGAAAATGAAGGATTTTATGTGAAATGTGTGCTAAGTTGAATTTGATGGATGTTACCAACTTGAGAGAGATATCCAACTGTCACTTAAGCATATTTTTTTTCTGATTTTTCTGAGTCTTGTGCATAAGATAAGAACCGTGTTATAACATAACGCTTTCATCTGAATAATAAGATAACATGTTATATTAATGCGTTCAATATTACATATATTTAATTAAGTAATAATAATGGTGGCATGTTTTTTATGCTTTCATCTAGGTAAAAATTATAACGGTAACATATTAACATGTAACCTATTCCTAAAATTATAAGACCGGGTTTGGGACTTTCACATACATAGAGAGTATGGATAAAGGTAATTAAAATTGTACTTGTGCTTTAGGGATGAGGTCAAGATATAGAGTACAGCCGATCAAGATTGGCTGATTTGGCTAGGCCCGGCCGGGAAGTTCCCTAACTTTGGGCATAATTCTTTGGCTCGAAATCCAGGCTCAGCCCGATTCAATTTTCTTCATTTCTTTCTCTTTCTTTTTGTGTGGGTTTTGGATATAACCTAAAACCTCAATTTTAGTGATATAATAATTTTCTTTATTGATAACAATCAAATTTAATTCATGGATTAATTAGGGTTTTAAAAGGGGCCAATTTTAATTTAATAAACTTTAATATATTTGCAATGTTATAATTTAATAAAATTAGTGTACAAAACAATTCTTATAGGGTTTTAAAAGGGGCCAATTTTAATTTAAATTAAACTTTAATATATTTGCAATGTTATAATTTAGTAAAATTAGTGTACAAAACAATTCTTGCCACAAACGTGTGTGATTTTGATAGAATCTCTTATCTCATGTCATTGTTGTACTCTAGATTCTTAACCCTTTGTGAAATAATTGATTAGATTGGTGTCCAAATTTGTGTTGTTGGAGACATATTTACCAAAAGAGTACTCAAATTCTCAATTCTAGTATTTTGTACTATGTACGTATACATAAAAAAAATAGGGTACATTCGATGGAATAAATCAATCGCCAATGAGCTAAAAATTGGTGTCATAATCATATTGTGGCGTATGTACATACGTACACTGTCTAGATGTACCATCAAGACAAAAAATTATTTATCATCCATTTTAACAAAAAATTCTCATTTTCCGTTAAGCTCATTAAAAGTTTTAGAATAATATTTGTGGTTTGGTTTTGTTTAATAAATAGACTCAATCTACGGGAGTAATAAGTATTTATTGTGAGACAGCATATATGTATATAAACAAAAATGGCTCAAGAAAGTTTTTGTAAGACGAAGGGAAGCAAATCTCCAATCCTCCCCTAGGTAATAAACCAAAATTCATGGAACACATTAAAGAAATTCCTAGGAATTTTATCAAGGAATTTACTTTCAATGAAATACAAATTACTATTGCAATTAAATTCTCATATCAACCAAACAATACTTAAGTGATACATACACGACGATGCACACAAATGATACTCGTATAGTCCGTTAAATTTTACTCTGCAGTTCAAAAAGAATACGTACCCTAGACCCAACAAAAAGAAAAGCATAAAGTTCATGGAGAAAAATAAAGAAGAAAATGAAGAGAAAAAGAAACAGTTTTTGCTAGGTTAAAATTTGGGAAGAAAGCAACGACACAAAGAAAAGGAAGGAAAGTTCACTTGGGAAAAAGTGATCTAGTGATCAGGGAAAGAGTACAAGAAAGATAAGATTACATAGTACTAGTATCAATTGATGAAAAACTTCAATTATTTCACAAGCTAACATTTCTTTTGATTAGAAACTTTAATAATTTCTCAAGTAACATTTCTTTTTAAATATAAGCAACTCCTACACTCTTAACTTGGAACAATTTGTCTTTTGCTTTATACATTCCCACAAAGGATGGAATACATCAATTTTAACCACATTTTTTTACACACGATATATATAAACATCAAATGTTATATATTGTGTAATATCTTTATGGTTAATGTATTTAAATTTGCATTAACAAATATTATGGAACGGAGAAAGTAAGAAAACTAGCAAGGGTGAGACATATCAGAGAATGGAAGAAAGTATTATGCTACTCAAAAAGTCCAAACCCTAAAAAGTCAAAACCCTAATTATATTAGTTACAAATTTAGAATATTTTATATCTTACAAATTATGCCTGGAAGTTACAACTTATATGTAACAGAGGTACTGTAGTATAATTATTACGCAGTATATTTCTTTATAAAAGAAAAGAAAGCCAAGTAAAATAAAGGATGAAAGATGGTATTATTGGGGTAGTAAACAAAATGTGTTTAGAAAGAAGAAATGTTTTGTCGTTTAATTTAAACTCGAGATCCCAGAAAATGAAAGTTGCAGAAGAAGTAGTACTGACCTTGCTGCCATGCTGCTGCTGCTCTCAGCTCGTTGTTTTTGCTTTTGTTTACTTTTCTTTTTTTTCTCTTCTTTCCTTCTAAAATGGTGGGGGTGACAATGGGGGGACCTTACTTACCCCTTACTTACCCCTATTACTTACACTCTTAGTCATCAAATTTAATGGTCTCCAGATCCCCAGACAATAACTGTTATGTACATAAATTACAGAACCAATTTTAATTTTAACTCGCTCGTGGATGAAACTGTCTCACACTAATTTACTCTATTATCATAAATTTGTTTGGGAACCCTTTCCAGCGTGGGAATATGCTCAAGTGTCTAACTCAACTATTTTGTAAAAATTCTCTGGCACAAGTGTCCTAATAGTATCCGAGTGTCTAAAGTCTAAGACGAGAACTTGTGGTACGTGAAATAAAAGGTACGACTAACATAGCTAATATATATGTAGTAGTTATATTGATATACAAAATGTTATAATTAGAAATATTAATAAGGCCTTAATTATTCTTTTGAGCTGCTCTGTTGTGCTGAAATATTATTGTTGTGCTACGAAGCTGAAAAGAGTATATTCTAAGAAGAGTGAGGGATAGCTCAAGTGGTTAGACCTTTTCGATCCATGATATTGGTTTTATTCTCTATCAGTTACTAAAAGTCGTAAATAACATATTACATTATTAATTTTGATGCACAACATATATAGCACTTAAGGGTATATATAAGAAAACAGAAGTCGAATTCAAATGTTGGCGCATAAAAGATATGATGATGTTTAGAGGGCGGGGGTAAAATGAGCAGGAGTAAGGAGGGGAAAAGGACGGTACTGAGAGTTGCAGCCTTAGAATGCAGGAGGGGAGGGGAGGGAGGGACGACAATAAATTTACTGGTTGAATTCCAATTAAACAGCTTTCTCTTTGTCTGTCTGAGTCTTCCCTTTCTTATCCTTATTATTGACTGATGATCAGAGATCCACAATTCAACTGTCTTTTTCTGATTAATTGCAGCATTAGCATGCATGGTTTTTTCATAACTGAATGATGCCCTCTTCTGCTACTATGAGTAGTTACTATGTTTGCCCAATTTTTTTATTTATGATCCACTCCATGTCAATCACCACCATTATATATCTCATTTATGTGCTTTG